TGTATTGGATGAAATTTTTTATATTAATGATATCGATCAAAAGGTTTTATTTTTCACTGAAAGTTTAATTGCTCTTTTCGATACACATGCACCTATTCGTAAAGCGCGTATAACGAAAAATGCATCGCCTTGGTTAACCCAAACCTTGAAACGTATTTTCAAGGAAAGAGATGAAGCTTTACTCAAATTTCAACATGATTCAACTGAAGAAAATTGGATCAACTACAGAATTTTGCGTAATCACGCACTTGCTGCACTTAAAAGAGAGAAAAAAGCATATTTAGCTCATTTCGAAAAGTCAAACCCTAAAAAATTTTGGAACCACTTAAGAAATTTTGGAGCTTACCAAAAAAATAAGGCAGAAATTCCCCCACACTTGCTCAATCCTGACGAAGTTAACAATTATTTCTTATCAAATTTTATATCCCATAATGTTAATTCCCGTCTTATAAATCGTACGGTAGATGAATATATTTCAAGTTCTTTTAATTCAGACATTCCGCTCTTTCACTTTCATTTAGTTACCCCAGAAGATGTTTTAGATATTATAATTTCCATCAAATCTCAAGCAACTGGTTGTGATGGAATTAACATAGGAATGATCAATTTGTGTATTCCTGAAGTGTTACCTCATCTAACACATATCGTCAATTTTTGTTTAGAAAATGGAGTATTTCCAAGTTTGTGGAAAGAGGCTGTTATAACTCCTCTGGCTAAGAATAATAATCCTACAGAATATTCGGATTTAAGACCCATTAGTATATTGTGTGCCTTGTCAAAGATATTGGAAAAAATTGTTTATATGCAATTGGTAAAATATTTTGAAGAACATAACATATTTCCAAATTGTCAGTCTGGTTTCCGTAGTGGTCACAGCACAACATCTGCATTATTACACGTAACTGATGAGATTATCTCTAACTTAGACAATCATATTTACACTGTGCTGGTGTTGTTAGATTTCTCAAAGGCATTTGATACGGTTAACCACGAAATGCTTCTATCCAAATTAAAATACTACGGACTATCTGATGTTCCTCTCTGCTTTTTTAAATCATACTTAAATAATCGCAAGCAACGAATAAGAACAAGCCAAGGAGTTTCTCTTAGTGCCGATGTTGCTTCTGGTGTTCCTCAGGGTTCCGTGCTTGGTCCTTTACTATATTTAGTTTATACTTTTGACTTGCATACTGTATTACAGTTTTGTAGTATTCATACTTACGCAGACGATACACAATTGACCTTCACTTTTGACTCTACTAATGTGGATCAAGCTTCGTATAAAATAAATTTAGATCTGGTAAATATAACTGACTATTGCAAGGCTAACTGTTTGAAGCTCAATCCTACCAAGAGTTTTGCGGTGTTGTTCTGTCCCAAAACCAGCTATGAGCATTTTGAAAGGATGATTGATTTGAGGGTAAATAATGACCATATTCCACTCGTCACGTATGCAAAAAGTCTAGGTGTTACTCTAGACGTAAATCTTAGATTTCATCACCACGTCAGTAATATATCTAAAGCTACATATGCAAGCCTAAGACTCCTATACTCCAATCGTTCTATTCTCAATTTCAAGACTAGAAAGAAATTGGTGGAAAGTTTAGTTATTTCTAAGCTGCTTTACTGTTTTATACTGTTTATCCTTGTCTTGACTCCATAACAAAAACCAGATTGCAGAAAATTCAAAATTGTTGTTGTCGTTTTGTTTTCGGCCTTCGTAGGTATAGCCATGTTACATCCAAGATCTGTGAGCTGGGGTGGCTGAAGCTCAATAATCTTTTCAAGTTTCATATGTTGGTTTTTGTACATAAAATAGTCGTTACCAAGAGACCTATTTACCTTGCAAATAAGTTAGTTCCGCGTAGGAATTTAATTTCAAGAAGGTTACGTCATGATGAACAGTTCAATATTCCTCTTCACTACACCTCATTATATCAGAGATCTTTCACGTATAATGCTGTTGAGCTTTACAATTCAATCAGTGCGGCTAACAAACAAGAAAGTTTACTCTCTTTTAAGAAATCAGTTGGAAAACAGCTATTGGAGATGCAATCGTCTCTCAGTGCTTGAGCTGTTGGTTTGTTTTATTTTTATGACACTTTATTATTATTATTATTATTATTATTATATTAATAGTTCAAGTGTGCATTTGTTTCTTTTTCTTAGTATTACTATTGTTTGTTTGTGTATCGAGTTTAACTGTGTTACTCTTTCGTACACAGTGAGGTTAAGTGTAAGAGTAGCCATTTGGCTAAACTTCGCCTCACTGATGTATGCTGATTAATAAAGACATTTATTATTATTATTATTATTATTATCAACATTTAGCGTCAATTTTGTAAGGGTTAATCTTAAATCTCCTCGGCTAATTATGTCCAGTCTGTTTCTTTTTTTCGTTAGGAGATTGGTAACAGCGCTGAACCCCCTTTCCACTAGGTATGACGATGGAAAGGAAATTAAAAATGTCCTCGCTATATTCCATAATACGGGATAAGTAACGGGTATGTTGTTTTGCAGCCAGAATTGCTGATATCCGTTTTTAAACTGAGCCTTAAGTTCTTCGTTTGTACTTAGTTCAGTTGGTTCCTCTTGTATTATGACATTCGTTTCTTTTATGTCACCATATGGATTAATTATCCACGGTGGTATTACCATAGTCAAAATATCCTCAAACCTAGATTCAAAATCTGAATAGAGGGCATTTAAATGTTGAACGTAAGTTGAAACGTCGTCTTCCTGGCAGCTTGTCTGTGACAAATTGGGGAACTGAGAAAATTCGCCCCGTCCAATATTTTGCTTCGTTAGATTAACTCTGATAAGAAACGCTGATAAGATGGACTTTGTTTTGATCAAATTTAAACTGTCGCCTTGTAGTTGCAAATTAACCATATTAAATTTTGTAAACAAATCTGTTAAATAGGCGATGTCTGTTTTCCTCTTCATTAAATTTTCTTTTAAAATGTTATCTTTAGTATCCAGAAATTCTAAAATAGTCTCAAAAAGAGCAAAAAATCTTGTCAAACATGCTTTTCGATAGCCAGCGTACTTCAGTGTGAAGGACTAATTGATGAAAGTGTTCGTCATTTTCTTCACACAACTGTGTATTCAACGCGTTGCTTCGGATTGGGTTTACTGCATCAATGACTAAATGAAGTGATTCATGCAATCTAACGCTCAAATTTTTAGCAACTAAATGTATTGCTAACACCCCTGACACATTTTGTTTTAAATAGCTTATAAATGCACGATAACGTCCAACCATGGCAGGTGCTCCATCTGTAGCTTCTGATATTATATTTGATAAAGGAATTGCTTTTTCAATGAAGTAATCCTTCAAAACATGAAATATTGATTCACCTTTAGTGTCGGTTATCAAAGTTCTTGCGAAGAGCAGTTCTTCGTAGATTTCTTGATTCATAATAAAACGAACATATGCCAATAATAATGCTGCATTATCAGGTAAAGTTGACTCGTCCAGTTGTATAGAGAAATGGGTCGTTTGCAAATAATTACATAAGAAGCTTTCAATATCAGAACTCATTTCATCAATACGTCTTTCAACAGTATTGTTGCTTAAGGGAATTCTTTTAATGATATCAGATGCAGGTTTGTGTAAAACAGTTTTTAAAACATCTTCAACGGCTAGGAAAATTAACTTCTCTCCGATAGTATGCGGTATTCCTGATTTTGCTATAAGTAACGAGATATTGTAAGACGCCCGCAAACCATCATCATTTCTTTGTGACGTTGAAGGGAACATTCTGTCCAGTGTAGGTCTCTTCTGAAATTTATCTTTGAGTGTTTGAAAGTATTTCAAATCTTTCTCTGTTTTATCAGGGTGGCATCTTCTCAGATGATCTTGCAGTTTAGATGGTTTCATAGCGTCATTGCCCAAAACTTTGTTGCATAAAAGGCACATAGGCGATTGTTTGTCCGGCAATGATGGAATGAAGCCAAATTTCAAATAATCAACACTGTACTGTCTTCATTTCTTTTTAGATTCGGACATTTCATCAGTCATCTGTGGGCAAAATTAAATTATTTAAATAAGACAGAAAATCCAGCAGCTGTATATTAAAAATATTTTTTGAATTTTCCGAAAACATTCCATAATTCGAACATCTTCTTGCAACAATTAGCTCGAATTACGGAGATTGCACTGTAATTATATTACCGATTGCTAAAACTTTCAAAAAGAAACTATTGAGGAGTACTCGTGTAATTTTGCATGATTGAATATTTAACTACTAATAACTAAAGTCATAATTGGCGTAATTTATCTATCTTTGCTAACTACGAGTACAAAACTAAAATTTAATAAAAAATAATGTACATACTTTTCTCCAGTACTCTCAAACAAAATAACACTGACTCACTATAATTTGTGTGATATACTATCTGTTTATATTTTTTAAAATATTTTCTTAGCACTTTCCTTTTCAAGATTCAGAAAACGAATAAACGTATTTGTCCCACATTCGTATTTATAAAGTGACGAAGTGAACAAGTCAGTGCAAGGTAGCGAAGCTCTGAGACTGCGACTCTCAGGTTTAAGTTCAAAATGTATTGCGACCACAAAGCGAATACCACCGTCCTACAACTTACACAATTTTATAAACATATATAATATTTTTTTTACTTCATAGGTACTTTTATAAATAATGTATATGTTTTGATATTATAAGATAGTATGATGTAAGTAAATAGGTACTATCAGTGTATGTGTTGAGATCCACTATCGTGGACCCCCATATTCATTTCATGGACCCCCAAATTTTTTTTCGCTGACGAAGACCCCTTGCAGGTTGTCATAGACCCCTAGGGGTCGATATAGACCACTTTGGGAAGCAATGCTCTACACGATCGGGCTTGCGCATAATCATTTGTAACCGCCGATTGTGGAGAGGAACCATAATACGAGAGGGCAGTGATACACGGACAAACTACAGATAGACAAACCAACAGAAATGAGTGATATGGTTTTTCCTATTCAATAGATGTGCAGATTGCAGAGTGAGGTTAGAACACGACGATCTCCTACATGCTGAAAGTTTGAAATTGAACCTATATCGGGCAGTGTCAAATCCTGCTTACATCTGCTATTCTACACACGACCCTATTTTAGCAGCATTTTACTTATCGAAAGAACTGCAACAGTGCTCTTTTCTAGTACCAGAATTCAGGATTGCATATATGGAACTTGCTGCGGATGTCAGTGACTTTGCGGTTAGTACCTATTTTATATTACTCTTTTGAAAAAACGATGAACTTTAGATTCATAAAAAGTAATGGCGGAAATAAAGTGCGCGTTGAAACAGTCGAATTCTCCAAAACGACCGTACGTTCTTTTGGATCTATAGCAGACGCTCGATAACGTAAACACGGGATAATGAAAACTTGCGCTAATGTAAACACAAACTTCGTTCTATAGGATCAAACGGAACGCGCGATAACGTAAACAATGTGTACGCTCGATAACGTAAACAACTCTCGGCGCACGGAAACAGCACGACGGTAAAATGCTGAAGCCTCGATGATTTATGTCGGGCATCGGGGAGTCCCCGATTTATGATGTAGAGTGTAGGGGTTTCACCTCTGCGATAAAATACGACAAACTCGGTCAGTCGTATGATCGTTTAGGATACGTTTATACGTAGGTACGTATGTATTTCATTTTTGAACTTAAGTGAATACATTGCACGCGTTAATATATTTTACGACTATGGCATCCACATCTCCTAAAAAAAGTGTTTAAAGTTGAGTGAGAAAGTGAAAATCATAGACGAAGTTGCACTAGGTGCGGGAGTGACACAGTTAGCAAAAAAATATGGAGTATCGAAAGCAACAATCTGTAAAATTAAGCGTATGAAAACTCAAATTTTACAAAGAACGTGCAATACATTTGGAGGTCCGGGAAAAAGAAAAACTTTAAAAAATGCGAAGGCACCTAAAATGGAGAATTCCCTGTATAAGTGGTTTTTAAAAGAACGGGAAAATCATGTCCGAGTTAGTGGCGAAGTACTTAAACAGAGAGCGAGACTGTTAAATGAAAAACTGAAAGAAACTGAAAATTTCGTAGCTAGTGATGGCTGGCTACAACGATTCAAAACAAGATATGGAATTCGACTGCTGTCTATATCTGGTGAAAAATTATCAGCACAACCACAATTAGTGCAACCATTCAAAGAAAAATTGATGAAAACAATTATAGATTTAAGAATGGAACAAATTTACAACGCAGATTAGAGTGGCCTTTATTGGAAAATGTTACCAGAGAAAACCTATGCTGCATCATTTGAAAAATCTGCCCCGGGAAGAAAGCCGGAGAAACAACGAATAACGTTTCTAGCCTATACTAATGCTAATGGTTCACACAAAATAAAGCCACTGGTAATTGGGAAAGCAAAAAATCCGCGCTCATTTAAGAATGTTAATATCCCTTTTGATTATGACTGTTCAAAAACCGCTTGGATGACTAGCAGTATATACCTGAAATGGTTCCACAGGTGCTTTGTCCCTCAGGTATGACAATCAATTATCACAAATGCTCTATTCATAATTTGAAGATGTGTTTTCAATTTGTAGATAAAAGGTTTCCTAAAACAACAGAAGCTTCCAATAAAAGCGTTGTTACTATTGGATAATGCACCAAGTCATCCTCCCGAGCAACAACTGAGGATCAGCGATGGGTCAATTTTCGTCATGTACATGCCGCCCAACGTAACATCGTTAATTCAACCGATGGACCAGAATATAATAAGACTCACCAAACTATACTATCGGAAGTTTCTACTTTCGTCTGCTTTATCAAAGAATCCTGAAAACTTATCTGAGGCTTTAAAAAAAGTAACATTACGAGAAGCTTTTTTAGATTTACATATGGCCTGGAATGAACTTAACCAGCAAACTATTCAAAAATGTTGGAACAATTTCTTTTGTACCAATAATGAAGATGATGAAGAAGACGATGTCCCCTTAAGCGTAATTAAAGAACGTTTGCGATCCAATAATGATCATGTTATTAGTGTGTCATTGGATGTTGTTGATTTATTGAAAACAGTGAATCCCAACATTGTTTGTACTCCTTCTGATATTAATTTATGGAACGAAGATAAGCAGACGAATGATGCTGGTAAGGAGGAGGATATGGACAGTGAGGATGATGAGAACGATCCCATTGAAGTCAGAAGTGTAGTGACTGACGCGCAAGCTATACAAGTTTTTAACCAAGCTTTAGATTGGACTGAAAGAAAAAAAGTTTCATACACGGATATTTTAGTTCTTCGTAAAATACGGGCGCAGGCTTTTGAAGACAATGCTAAGCGCAAATTTACGCAGACAAAAATTGTTTATTATTTTTCTTTTAATTAAAAAAATACTTATCGCTGTTAGAATATTTGTTTATTTTGTTATAAATAGTATGTATTAAACGTTTCTTTTAATAAATCAAATTTTATATAAATCACGTTCGCTAATGTAAACATTTCGATAATGTGAACCACACTTGGATTAAATTAGTTTACATTATCGAGCGTCTGCTGTATGTGTTGTACCCTTTCTAATTCCATGTTATCTATTCATTCTCAGGTCGATCTGATAGCATGTTGTAGAAGTACTAATGAAATGGAGTTAATTTTGATGCGAGGTGCAGGAATATACACTCATACATTCACGTTTCCTCGCCTTGTTCTGGCCATGGATTGTAAGCAAAAGAAATTCGTTGCACATCCCAATACGCAACAAATAGTTGAGGTAAGTTTCAGGTGTTAGACCGGCAGGGTTAATACGTGAAAAAACCTGTATAATGTCAACAAATCGGTAAAATGTCAACTTGTTCTCTAGCTAGCTGCTAGTGTCAATTAACCAAAAATTACGAGCCCCTTCCCACTTCAGTTGGCCCAACTATTAAAATCTTAGTTTTTTTCTTATCAAACACAAATAATAAAAATGTAACAGGGTGTTATAGGTTTAAAATATTAACAATGAATATTTTGATAATATATAGTAGCAAACACCAACTTTATCACTCCCTAATCAAATTTGCAATTACAGCATATCAACCTATTTTCATTTCAATGCAAAATAAGTCTATAACGCATAGTTGGCTGAGAAAAATAAAAGCCATGACAATTGTTTTTATTAATCACAGCTGTCAGAATACGTTTAAAATAGTTTTGGGTAGTTAAGGTTTTCGAAATAGGTAGAGGAAATGTTATTAGTGAGAAAATTCGGTTACTGATAATTAAATTTTTTTAATCTGGGAAATCAAACTGAGAAATTGCAACTTTGTTAGACTTATCACGGTACAGTCTGTAAATATTGTTAGAAGATATAACGTAACTAGTTCAGTCAATATTAAGCCACGATATGTGAAAAAAAGTAGTATCACAAATGCCGACCGAAGAGCATTAAGAAGAATAATCGTGAAAAACAGGCGTGCCAATTATTTACAATTAAATGCTCTGTGGAGTGACGCTGTTGGAAGGAGAATTTCGAGGTCCACAACTCATAGAGAGGCCCACAAACTGGGATTTAGCACTTGCAAGGTAAGTTTTCTTATAGAAAAAAGTGAAGTAAAAACCCTAAAGCTGCACAACTTGTTTATAGGCCAAAAAAAAGCCACTATTCTCCACTGCAAAAGAAAAATCGGCTTAGACGGGCTAAAGAACATAGACAATGGACACCTCAACAATGGAGTGCATTACAATGGAGTGATGAGGCCCGATTCGAAGTTTGTGTTGGTGACAGTCGCAGTAGAGTTATTCGCAAAAAAAAATGAAGCATTCCATGTTGACTGTCTGAAGAGAAAAGTGAAATTTCCAGCATCCATTATGGTCTGGGGCAGTATGTCATCAAAAGGAGGAGGATAACTTCATTTTATTGATGGAAATGTGGATACAAATAAATATTTGGCAATTTTAGAAGAATCGCTTTTACCAGTGATGGAAGAATGTTTGACATCTGGCCAAGATTTTGTGTTTCAGCAAGATGATGCAGCGTGCCATACCTCAAAAAAGGCTATAAAATGGATGGAAGAAAATAATGTACCACTTTTGAAATGGGCTTCTAGCAGTCCAGATCTGTCACCTATTGAGACTTTGTGGCACGAGATGAAAAAGGTTCTACGACAACATCCCGCTCGTACAATCACCGAACTGAGACAAAAGCTTCATGAAATATGGGATCGTTTTACACCAAATTTCAGCCGTAATAAAAAATAAAGGTGATGTTACCCAATGGTAATCTTTCAATTGTTGCTGTGTTAACTTCGCGCATTTATTCGCACAATGTCAAATCCAAGATCACTCGACAAAATTTACTACAGACCTGACCCTGATAGTTATTCTCATCACTAATCCTGTAAGATTCATAGTGATTTTTCTAGCAGCACACATTTGACCTCCATTCGACCTTCAGTGGTCACCATGACCTTGGTCTTCAATTCGTGTTTGAACGTTCAATTTTCCGCTTTTACGATTGCTGGCATCAAAGATAAGCATTTCCATTAAAAAAATGAAGTTGACCTTGAAATGACCTTGAACGTGAGGATCAAGGTCAAATCCAGGATCACCATTTCACTCCCTCGTTGAAATTTATCAAAGACTTGACCTTGATGTTGTTTTCATTAATAACACCAGCTTCCAAAATAAAAAATTCTAAAAGATGCAGCTATATGAGACCAGTAAATGTGTTGCCAGACATTGAAAAATTATTAGAGTCCATAGTGCATGACCAATTAACGCAGTTTACAGAAGAAAACAAAATTTTAGTGGAGGCGCAAGCAGGCTTTCGAAAAAAATATTCCACGTGAACGGCTTTCCAGTTGGTAACTGAGTATTGGAGAAGAGCCATAGAAGTTGTCATAGCAGTATTTTTGGATTTGAAGAGGGCATTTGAAACGATTGATAGAGATATTTTGTTAGGTAAATTGAAGGCATATGGTATAACAGGAAGTGTTTTAGATTGGTTTAGAAATTATTTGCCTAAAGGGATCCAGGTTACAAAAGTTAATGACAATATTTCATCAAAAATTGAGAATACGTTGGGTGTTCCACAGGGCAGTATTCTGGGACCACTTCTTTTTATTTTGTACATAAATGATTTACCTGCCATAGTAAAAAAATGCAAAATTCAGATTTTCGTCGATGACACTATGATTTATATAAATACTAAAAATATTCAGACTGGTATCTCTTATATAAATGAAGACTTGAAACTTGTCTCAAAATGGGTAGCAACAGACTCAAATTAAATACAAGTAAAACGAAAGCTATGTTAATCGAAAAAAACAATGTACAAATGTTCAACTGAATATTGATGGTGAAGATATTGAATTAATAGAAAATTTTAAATACCTGGGGGTTTTTGTTGACTCTCGATTAATTTTTGCTATTCATTACGAAAAAGTTATAAATGACATTAGTAGTAAAGTGGGATATTTATCGAGAGTTTCTGGATGTCCGAGTACATATAGCAGAAAAATTATCTATAATACCATCATTCTTCCAAATGTCTTGTACTGTTCGACTATTCTATATTTAGCAAATAATTCCATTTTTGAAAGACTGCAAATTTTACAGAATAAGTGCATGAGAATAATACTGAATAAAAATAAATATACTCCAATTAGACAAATGCTTAGCAAATTAAAATAGCTCAATGTAAAAATTTTAATCAAATATCTTGTAATGATGTTCGTTTATGAAGAAAAAAATAATATGTTTCCATCAAGTCTAACTAATTTAACATCATCAAATGTCGACCATCATTTACATAATACCAGAAATAAAGATGACTTCCATTTAATGACCAAAAAGTATAACATATGCTACAAATCTGTATTCCATCAAGGGTTGATTGAATGTAAAAATTATACACAGAGATAAAAGACCAGAAAACGTTGCCAAAATTTAAAGTAAAATTGAGGAATCACTTGTTAAATCTACAATTATAGGTTGTCCAGCATTTAGAGCATACATCATATGCCTTGAATTTACTACTTCTAAGTTGTTTACAATTATTCTGTTTACGTAGCCAAATGTGCTAAATAAATCTTTTTACTACTACTAATACTAACTCTGTGAGATTTATAGAGGTTTTTCTAGCAGCACGCATTTGACATTTAGATGGCATCCTGACCTTAGACTTCAGTTCGTATTTGAAAAGTCGATTGCTAGCATCAAAAATAGGGATTTTATTGAAAAAAGTAAAGTTGACTTTGAATTAACTGTGAAGGTAAAAGTCAAATCATTCATTTCCTTGTTAAATTTACCAAAGACCTGACCTTGATAGTTATTTACATCACTTATCCTGTGAGATTTATAGAGGCTTTCCTAGCAACACATCTTCATTTGACCTTTTGTAGTCATCCTGAGCTTGGACTTTAATCATGTTTGAACGTAAAATTTTCTGTTCTTTCGATTGCTGGCATCAAAAATATTCGAAAAAAATAAAGTTGATCATGAACTAACCTTGAAGGTAAAGGTCAAGGTCAATTTCAAGGTCACCGTTTAATATCTTGCATTAAAGTTACTGAATACCTGATGTTGATCTTTTCCAAAAATACCTTATTCGAGAAAATACAGAGCCATTCCGGAAGGGGTATCACGTATCTTGAAAAGTGACATTATGCCAATTTTTTTTTAAATTATGCTGGTTTTTTTGTCATTATGTAGGTTTTTCGCCAAGACGTTGAGCTAGCACTTAGTTGTACGTTGCCTAAACGTCATCAGGCTTTTTATCAATCTTTGGCTCTGATGTGATGTAAAATCTACTTCCGAGATGGCATTACTGGAGGTCTAAGCTGTAAGTTGTATGTGTTGACGATAATTACATTGGGTTCTTGTCTCAAATACACTTAATTCAGATTCAAAGCTAGAAATTATTTGTGCATCCACTTTTTCATATCTATTCTGGAAATTACACATACAAATTTGCTGAATTTCAAAAATGAGAGAGATAAGAAATAATTATATTCACTGTACACTGTCGAATTACAAGCCATATACATGTCAACAATAATTACACACAACGCGGGAGCGGTGATGATTTCCCGTAATTCTTCTCAGTTTTTCGTAATTTATAACTTTGAACATAACCTCTCGTCAGAAAGCACAACATCAAAATAACCCATCGGGTTCAGCCATTAGATATGCTTCATTACCAGCATATTCAGTAATGATTTTATCACACAGCAAATATCACTGATTTTATACACATGCAGACCAAAACACATAATTATCCAGATGCGATCTTGCTATTCAACCAACTTTCTTCTCAGAGATAGAAACTACAGACAAGGACCATTCGGCCTCACAAAACATATGCAACCAATAATGCGTGTAGTTTAGTTGAGTGATTCCTTCATATACTAAGTGACATATAAATCCGAACACCCAGTTTAAATGGTTTTATTTTAATAAAATTTTGTATAAGTACTTAATGAAGCATAATAAGTAAATGATAAAAATTTCAAAATGATTGCACTGTTTTAAAGCCCTTTGACCTTTAATAATGTGTGGATGCATCCTGATGCGCTACGCATTCTCCAACGCGCCTAGGCATGCTTCTGATCAGGTGGTCAATGTCCTCCTGTGGTATCTCATTCCAGGGAACCACCAACTCCTCTCGAAGTGCTTCTAGAGTCTGAGGAGGACGTTGCAAATTGAGCAATCTCCTACCCATCATATCCCACACGTGCTCAATTGGGGATAAGTCGGGAGATCTTGGTGGCCATGGTAACAATGTGACAACATTATGTTGAAAGAAGTCTATTGTGACTCTTGCAACATGTGGTCGGGCATTATCTTGTTCGAAAGTTGGATCTGCCAGGGTGTCAAGATAGGGTAAAAGATGGGGTTCTAGAACTTCGTGGATATAACGCTGCGCGTTCATGTTACCTCTGATGAAGATTAAAGGTGACCTGGGACCATAAGCTATAGCACCCCAAACCATAACTCCAACAGTGTGATGAACATGTCTTTCAACAAAAAACTGTGGATTCCTCCTTTCACCACGTCGCCTTCTAACCCTGGCACGACCATCGTGCATGTCTAAACAAAATCGAGACTCGTCACTAAAGACAATACTGTTCCATTCCTGATCCCTGAGTGACCGTTGTCTGCACCACTCAATGCGATTACGTCGGTGTTCTCGCGTTAAAGGGAGGACCCAGTGTGGCCGGTATGAAAACAAGCCAAAACTTCTCATTCGTCGGTAAACACTTCGCATGCCAATAGGTCTTCCGTGTTCTGCAAACCATTCATTTGCAATGGACCTGGTAGTGGAGAAACGGTCCCTTAAGGCCAATGATCTTAGGCGGCGATCTTCACGGTCTGTTGTTCTACGGCGTCGTCCAGTGCCCCTTGCTCTTTGCGTATGGCCTTCTCGAAGCCATGCCTGACAACACCTAACTACAGTGTCTACACTTCTTTGCACTCTAACTGCAATTGCCCGAAAAGAAAGTCCAGCTTCCCGAAGTCCCACTATACGGCCCCTATCAAACTCACTAATTTGCCGAAATCGTACAGGTCTCCGTAATCTAGGCATCGTAACCGATCGTAAAGGATGTCAAGAACCAAAATCCGCCAACGTTGATTCTTTACTGCGGCTGAAATATTCATTTTTAGAGCGTTAGTGAATTAAAAAAAGCAGTATAAAAACCGGACTGATAAGGCTGAAAATTTTTTCACTTGTTATTTACAGTAAGATAAATACATTCACCAACTTTTATTAAAATAAAACCATTTAAACTGGGTGTTCGGATTTATATGTCACTTAGTATAGATGAACGTTCACTACGATCCCAGTGAGCAAACGTGGAATGACTGTTTGCGCCCTAAAAACTACCTAGTTTGCAAGATGACATTTTTGACGTTTTATAAGTTTTTAACATGATGCCCATGAGGGGCTATTGTGTCAAGCTGTATATGTTATTCTTTCAGGCAGCATGGTGCGGCGACTGGCACGAATACAAAATAAAAGGCTTCACCGTGAAATTGCTCTACCCAATAGCAAGGATAATCACCCTACCAGTGATCTTAATTATGTGCATCATAACCCCACGTCATCCGCTCGTCAAACATTGGAGCATCCCTCTTAACAAGATGATCAGCCACATAGCCGCATACGTGGTTTTCCTCATCATTATTTTCATCGAGTCAAATATGGATAAGACTAACCAGAAGAGAAAACCCCCCAACTCGGGGTTGGAACCGGTCATAATTATTTTTGTGATCGGACACTCATGGAACATCGTCAGGATGATGATACTGTCAGGTCCTGGAAGATATTTCCAGGTATTTCGTATAATTTAATTTATACAGGATGCTTCAAATGTAACACACACCTTTGGGATCTCGAATACGGTGAGAGACATCCATAAGAACAAAATAAAGTTGATGTGATTGTTATAAAAAAATAGAGCCTAAATTTGTAACATAGAAATCTTAATAGCATTGATATTCAAAGTTTTAAGACGAAGATTGCATCAATGCAGCTTAATGACATTTATTTCGTGAATGATGTGGATATTAAAGTCTCTATTTTTACTGGCCGTCTTCTTTATCTATTCGATCTCTACGCTCCGCTACGTACAGTACAAAACCTGCTGCGCCCTGGCTCACTCCTAACTTGAAAATGATTTTTCAACTCAGAGACGAGGCATTCGCTGTCTTTCAGCATAACAGATCTGATCAGAATTGGGCCAGCTACAAAGATTTGAGAAATTATGCCCTTGCATCGCTTAGAAGAGAGAAAAAAGCATATATGTCACGTTTCCGGAATCTTAACTCTAGTCAAGCTTGGAAACACCTGAAGAGGATGAATGTGGTAGCCCAGAAACATGTTGCGATACCTCCCAGCCTCCTTGAGCCTAACATTTTAAATAATTATTTTCTTTCAATTTTCCAGACAGCTGCAGCTGATCCAAATTTGATTGATAGTGTCTCCAACTCTTATAGCGATAGACGCCATACACCGGATGCACCTCTGTTTGCTTTTAAACTCCTTACTCAGCAAGACATCGTCAATATAATCTCTCACATTAAGTCTACGGCATGTGGCTCTGATGGTCTAACTTTAAATATGGTTTGCTTATGTTTGCCTGATACCATAGACCATATAACTCACATTATTAATGTCTGTCTCGAAACAGGTTACTTTCCTGCCAGTTGGAAAAATGGTATTATTATTCCAATAGCTAAAACTAATCATCCAGAACAATATTCCGATATAAGGCCAATTACCTTATTATGCTTTCTATCAAAAATACTCGAAAGAGCTGTCTACTCACAACTAGTGGAGTTTTTCGAACAAAACCACTTATTTCCTCTACATCAGTCAGGTTTCAGAGCTGGTTACAGCACTACTTCGTCTTTATTACATCTTACTGATTCCATCATTCACAATTTAGATAATCACATCAACACCGTCTTGGTACTGTTAGATTTCTCGAAAGCCTTTGATATGGTCAATCACCAGATACTACTGAGTAAGTTATCTCATTATGGAATGTCAGATATAGTTCTAAGGTTCTTTGAGTCATACTTGCTAAATCGTCAACAAACAGTGAAAACCGATCAGGGAATTTCCTCCTCTGAGCCAGTTCCTTCAGGAGTTCCTCAGGGCTCAGTATTAGGTCCCTTACTATATCTGATTTATACGATCGATCTGCAAGACTGTTTAGTCCACTGTAGTATGCAAACTTATGCAGATGATACTCAGTTAGTGTTTGGTTTCGATCCATCAAAGGTTGATGAAGTTTCTTTTAAAGTTAATTTAGATTTGGCTAACATCGGTGATTACTGTAACAAACACTGCTTGAAGATCAAACCCAATAAAACTACTGCAATGTTGTACTGTTCGAAGAACTGCTACCGTGAAATGAAGCAGAGGATTTGTGTTTTTTTTGGATGAGACACTCATCCCTTTTGTGGATTACGCCAAGAATCTCGGTGTTACCCTTGATTTAAATATGAGATTCGATCGGCATGTCTCTTTCTTATCTAGAGTAAACATATTTGCGTTTGAAACTCCTCTATTCCAATCGATACATCTTGAATTTTAAAACCCGAAAAAAGCTCGCTGAAAGTCTTATGTTGTCTGTCATTTCTTACTCCCTTGTTCTGTATTACCCATGTTTAGACTACGTCCACAAAAGGAAACTTCAGAAAATTCAGAACAGCTGTTGTAGGTTTATTTTTGGATTGCGCAAGTTTAGTCGCGTCTCAGATAAAATCAAAGAACTCAACTGGTTGCGAATTGATAAGTTATTTTTATATCTTTTGACCGTCTTCACGCATAAAGTTCTACTATCTAACAGACCAGCTTACCTCGCTAGCAAATTTGTTCACCGAGGTAGTTTTGTTACCAGAGCTCTTAGATTTAATGCTAATTTTAACATCCCTCCTCACAATACCTCGGTCTTTGAAAGAAGTTACACCTATAATGCTGTCAAGCATTACAATGCAGTCAACAGTGACTATCGATCCAAACAGGTTGTTTCTTTCAAGAAATTAATGAAAAGTCAGCTGCTGGAGTCCATTTAGTTCAGTTTTTCTTGTGCTCATGTGATTTTTTTTTATTTTTTTTGTTTGACTATTTTCTACTATTTTTGTTTCAAATTTAAAACTCTCGCAATACTATCTGCATTTGTCTCGTGCAATCAATGTTGTCATTCTTATGAATTGTATTATTTTTTTTGGTATGTTATTATTTTGCTTATGTGTTGTATTATTTTTTCCAGTTGTGGGGTTGAGTGTAAGAGTAGCCGTCTGGCTAAACTTCGCCTCACTGCAGTTAATAAAGGCATTATTATTATTATGATTGAGGACAAGAGACGAAATGTATTGAAATTCTAATTATGCCATTTTGTGGAGCGGAAAAAGTGGCAAGCGTCTAATTTCATTTTAATTAAAGTCAGGGAAAAATAAAAACGGCATTGGTTTTTTTCGACTATCTCCGCAACCACCCTGAATGGTTAAGCTTTCCAGTGCTATTTTTCTTAGTTACCTAAATGTGCAACTTTCCGCGCTTTAACCGACTGCGTATCTCTCTTACCGTTTCCAAGATCCAATGGTGAGGGTCGAATTTGAAACAACCGATATGTTGTAGTTAAACTCAAAGTACTATTAACCCATTTATGCCTAAAGAGTTGCAAAAAAGTTGTTTTTTTTATTATTTTTTAATAACCTTATTAAAAGACGACACTTTGGAGGTATTTTCAATTTATTCTAAAAAATATACATAAACAGTTAGTTTTTTAGGATGTACTATACATAGTACATTAGGAATAAAGGTAGCTATAAGAATAATAAAAAAAATATTGAAAATATATATTTGAAACACATCAATATTGCAAATTTTAAAGAGTATGGTATTGAACAAAACATTTCACGTGACAGTGTGCACACCTTGTTTATTTGCCTTGTGGAATGACTAAATGATCTAAGCGATCATACCTTATGTCACCAAAATTTCTTGATTTACCTTGCTGGTACGTATAAGTCTTCTTATTTTGTGTCAAGATAGTTGTAGCTACACTTCTAAATTGTAATTGATAGACGTTATTTCCTCTATTTTTAGAAATATGCCAGGCGTTTGTCAGGGCCATATCTACACATTGAGAGATCAACGAGAATTACCATTTTTTACCTCGGATTTGTACTCTGTATTGAGCTATATTCTGTTCTGAGACCTATCCACCCCTATTATACAGCTTGACAACTTGGGGCTGATCTACATACACAAACTTTTTTCTTTTTGAGAATACCGCTTTACTGAATTTATTGGTTCAATTCCAGTCGCTTTAGACCCAAAAGTTACAATATTGTTGTCATTCCATTTTACAAAAATTAAGTTTTTATCTTTTACTTTAGTATAATCAAACATTCCACATTGTTCCTTTTTCATAAGTTTTGAATTTTTCAAAGAAGACACGGGTATACGATTTTCACGAATTGTTCCTGTACCACATATACCTTTTTCAGTCAAGCTTTCAAACAATGCTGGCGAAGAAAAAAAATTATCAAATACAAAATGAAACCTAAGATTTGCCCATTTGTTTTTTAGCCTATAAGCATAGCTCAATACAACTGATGCGCCAACACCTAAAGCTTTGTAAGCCGCGTTCACATACGTCGAAGCACCCTGATAAGGTTCAAACCATAAGATGTAACCAAGACTAGTAGCGCCAACCCAAAATTTGAACCCATAACGTATTGGTTTCCCGTGGATATACTGTTTACAACCATGTCGCTCGTTGTATGGAACCATTGCCTCATCAATACTATGATGCTCTTCTGGTACTGCGTATTCCAAAAAATTTTTATTTAGGTGATGGAAAAGACGCCTTAGTTTAGCAAATTTATCATTTGCATCCAGAGCTTCATTGTTTAGGAAGTGAATGTGAGACATTATAAATTCAAATTTATCGCGAGAAATAGCTTCAGAAACAAGTGAGTTGTGTGAATCACTGGATTTTTCCCAATACATCCTTCTGCGAGATACACTACTGTAGCCACTCAACAATAATATGCCTAGAAAACATTTGATTTCAGATTTGGTAACCATAATATTCCTGTTTTTCTGTTGAGCATACCGATTTGTCTCCTCAACTATTATGTTCAAAATTTCGTCATCAAAAAAACTAAAAAATATCTCGGTTGGGGACTGCTCTTGTTCATTTTGATTTTCGTTGTTTATTGGAAACGCACACTCATTTCTTGGCAAATCTTTTTTTACGTAATTATATGTTTTCTTCTTTTTCACTTCCTTCCGATTATTACCCCTGATTTCACTGAATGGTATTTCATCTTCTGAACTCCACATATAATAATAATAATAATGCCTTTATTAACTGCAGTGAGGCGAAGTTTAGCCAGATGGCTACTCTTACACTCAACCCCACAACAGGAAAAAAGAATACTTAAACACATAAACAAAATAATAACATACCAAAAAAAAAATACAATTCATAAGAATGACAACATTGATTGCACGAGACAAATGCAGATAGTATTGCGAGAGTTTTAAATTTGAAACAAAAATAGTAGAAAATAGTCAAACAAAAAAAAATCACATGAGCACAAAAAAAACTGAACTAAATGGACTCCAGCAGCTGACTTTTCATTAATTTCTTAAAAGAAACAACCTGTTTGGATCGATAGCCACTGTTGACTGCATTGTAATGCTTGACAGCATTATAGGTGTAACCTCTTTCAAAGAGCGAGGTATTGTGAGGGGGCATGTTAAAATTAGCATTAAATCTAAGAGCTCTGGTAACAAAACTACCTCGGTG